TCGTCTCCTGGCCTTGATAGATACTCACCATGTGGACTGGGTTTCCCCCGGTGACTACAGGCTTGCTCTGGGGACGTTCGTCGCCATCCCTGGTGGCCCGTGGTTCTGCTCCTTGTCCCTGCTAGACGTTCGTCAGGATGAGCTGCTGGGACTGAGCCCCCCCAACACCAGACGTTCGTCCATCCTCAAGGAACATGGGCCTGTGGGCTGGCCTAGTGTTCTCATTGGACGTTCGTCGGGCAAAATGGGTTAGTGGGCCGGACCTCGGCTTGGGCCCTTAACCCAACAGGCTTTAAAAAAACACTTATTTTCTCAAACACTACAACTTTTATTTTTCTCGGCTTCCGCATCAAAAGTGCTTTTACTTTTTCTATTACACAAAAATCACTTATTTTACCAAACACTATCCACTTTTACTTTTCAAAATCACTTTTTTCTCAAACACTATCAACTATTATTTAATTACTTCTCCCCATTTCATTAAAAAAAACACTTTTTTAAAAGCAGAAGTTGTTGCAAACAGACCCTAAATAAACTTCAACGAAATATCAATTCAAAAATTGGTTGTAATAAAGAAGAGGGTTCAAGTTGCAAAAAATAAAGGAATAGGAGTTCATAATTCTAAGGGTCCGCCGCCGAGTAAAGTAAAAGAAGAGAAAGAGGAGGAGAATGAGGAGATCAAATCTTATCTAATGATAATCGCCTTTGCTCGCTAGTGGCTGGAATTCATGAAAAAAATCACCTTCCAAATTAAATCTTTACAATCTATCGGAGATGAAAATGGGAGAGGAGGTCTAGAGATGGATGGGTGACACAAAAGAAATGCTAGACGATAGGGGAAGAAGAGACATGAAAGAGGGAAGAAGGTTGCAATCGAGAGATGCCTGATAAGAGGAAAGGAGATTTGATTAAAGGAAAATAATTAAAGCTCATTGTAAATAGGGGTATACTCCGTATAATTTAACAAAAGGAACGTACTTATCAATTAATAACTTCAATTTAACGAATAAATCGATAAGTACTACTAACTCCGTCCCATAAAACTTGATCAAATTTTCATTTTCTGGCTATTCCAAAAAAAACTTTGCTATTTCCATTTAAAACAGAGAATATGTGGCTAAAGTTATTTCTCTATCATCTGCACATATTTTAATCACACAGTTTTTACTTTATTAATAATTTACGTGCAAATCAACATTGACCAATTTACTATTTGGAAACTTCCTTTTATTATGATCCTATTTAGATCAATTGTTTTTACGACCATGTTTTGTGTACACGTTTTTTATACACAACTGCCACAACATTTCTACACAACGTTTTTGCTACAATTGCGCATCACCTCACGATCGAGACACCGCACACGGACATCCATTTGATAAGGCCGGATACGAACCTTTTTCCGAAATTAAGCTATGGCCTTCATTTTTCCAATTTGATACTCTGTATTATCGTCTCCATTTGATATAGATGATATTAATTGCTGGCATATGATCTTCAGAATTTTCTTTGAGCTATTGTTATTATTATTCCAATCAATGGCAAGATTAGAAGGCTCAGATGAAATTCGTACAAACATTGAAAAACCCCAGACGAGATACAGTTCCTGGAAAAAGAATCCTTCAACACCAAACATATTAAACGCTCATAAACCCAAGAAGATGATGGTTTTGCCACGCTATCTCTCCCCTCCATTGTCGTCCTGTCATGATAACTGCAAGAAAATCCCTGATAATAAGAACCAATTTTCGTCAAAAACCTGTCATATAAAATCTAATATGCAAAAGAAGAAGAAATCTGCAGCGGTTAAGACAAAACCAACTTCCTCTGCAGCAACAAACAGACAACAAGTTTTAGGATCTCCAGAAAATCTGAGCAGATCACATGCAAAGCCAACGATTTCTCGATCAGGAAAGACAGGCAGAACCAGAACCAGCAGCATCATTCCCAGGCGGGAAGATCAAGAGGAGGAATACCCTCCAGAGAAGACAATATACGTGATTGAAGAACATAAAGAACAACCAGAAGCGCCGCCTGGTAAGAATTGTTCACAGGATATGGAGAAAGAAAGTTCCGATCTTTTACGGAGAGGGAATATTATGTACCGATTGTTGTGTAAAGAGGCGGCCAGTCCGAGGAAAGTTGTGGTTCCTGACATATTTGTACGAGGAGAGGAAGATCCTGTGGAGTTGTTGTCAGGTCATAGAATGAGTGTCAGAAAAATTGAAGCAGAGAAAGATGTGAGGACTTTGATTGGTGTTTTTGAGAGTGTGATCTCTCTCCATGATGGAGCTTCTTCACCACCATTATTAAGATGAGGTGAATACATGCATTTACAGAATTGAAGGTTAATGTAAATATATAAGCATGTTTCTATATACATAGTATGACACAGCCCTTGAATCTTGATTATTTTCATTCAAAAATGGTGACTCTGCCTCTCCTCAATTATCGTGCAATGTATATTTGAGTATTTGACAGAGGATTATGATAATGAGTATTGTATGAAGCAGAGTTGTGCATAGAAGAATGAGATTGTAAAAAATGCAGTGAATCACAAATTGTTTGCCAAAAAAGAAAATGGAAGATTATTTTGGAACAAACAAAAATGAAATTTGGAAGATAATTCAGGAACAAAGAAAGTAAAATACTAATAAAGGGTCGTGACAACAACCATCAATATAGATAAATGCATAGAACGATTATTAATGTGTATAGACTAGTATGCGCTACCTTCATCCCAATAACATTGGAATATGAGGGGATGACACGATTACTAAGAAAATTGAGTATATATAATTCATATTGAATTGTTAAATTAATAATAAAATAAAAATGGTTTAGAGCATCAAAAACTTTACAAAATTTGGTATGAGATAATTTTAGTGGGATTTCCCGAAAAGAAAAAAGGGAAAATTGTCAAATAGGTCCTCGAACTTTCATAAAAAGGTCAAATAAGTCCTTGTATAGGAGGTTATGTCCGGCCGTCGCGATTTGGGGAGGTTCTTGGTGGAATTTTTTTATGAACATTTTGGGCATCTTATAATTTTATTCATCAAGTCTAGATTACTCATACCTAATTTTAGCTAAAACTTCAATAGGGAACGCATTCAAATTAATTCTTCAAGATAATTGTGCAGTTTAATGCGCAGTTATCTTCAAGAATTAATTTCAATGCGTTCCCGATTGAAGTTTTAGCTGAAATTTGGTATGAGTAAACTAGACTTGATAAATAAGATACTAAAAAATTTTCATCAAAAAATTTCACCGGAAACCGCCCCAAATCTCGACGGCCGGACAAAGCCTCCTATATAAGGACTTATTTGACATTTTAATGAAAGTTCGAGGACCTATTTGACAGTTTTCCCAAGAAAAAACGGGACAAATTTAGCGGGTCAAATGGAGTACTAACCTGTAACCTAGCTTATCTCATCACAAGTAAATGATTTGAATTACTAATTAGCAATATTCATATTGACGCATTCCATTAGTAGCTTTTGGACTTGCTTATTTGACTCGATCAATTAGGTGTTACAAAATGTTTATCCTCATCTTTTCACATAAATAAGAAGATTATGCCTTTTTAGGCAAATAATACATACCCATTGGATACTAGGATTTGATATAAAAATAGGGGGTTTAGGAAAACATATATAATACCAGAGCATAAAGAGATCCCAAAATATGAACAAAAGATTAATCCTGGAGTTTGTTAAGATTTGGGGTTCCATCCTAAAAGGGTCAACCTGTTAGGGGGAACTCATGTGTTAATATACCAATTTGTTCATCCAAACTTTTTCGGTGTGGGACATTTAACACCTCTCTTCATGACCTGACACTTCGTCTGGATCGTGCCGTCATTCATTTTTTTTCGTCGGTTCGTCGTTGTCATTTTTTATAATCGTGTCATCATTTTTTATAAGGGGGTCCCACACCATGGATTGATTTGGCTCTGATACCATGTTAAGATCGGGGGTTGCATCCTAAAAGGTCATTTTTCATAAGGGGGGATTAATTAAATAAAACCGGCAATTAAAGATTAAGGATGTTTTTAGATATTGAAATGTAATTTTCTTATCTTGTTTAGCCTGATCTATTTTGTCTGGTAAAGGCCTGGTTCACGTGTCTTTACTATTGATTGAGTCTGAATTAATTATATTTGGTCTAATCTCATCTGATTTAGTTTTGGTCTAATCTCATTTGGTTTAAGACTGAAATTAATCCGATCAGAATATTTCACGTATTTTCACACCTATCGCCTTGTGCCACTCAAACTGTTCTTAAATTTAGTCATTATCAAATCCATTCTATCTTTATAAAATCTACCCTAAGTTACGTTTATAATGTTTATTCTTTATAAAATTTAGGGAAAATGGAAATTAATAATCCAACCTTTTAGCGGTCTTCTTACAATAATCCAACCTTTTGGTTATTCATGAATAATCCAACTTTTGCACCTCATCTTCATTCACTGGTCCCTGACTGGTTGATGACCTGCTATTCCAAGCTATTTTCTTATCTTTGCAAATCATTATACCATAAATCTCATCTTTCACAAAGATAATATTTTGCAAAGATAAGAAAATAACTTGGAATAGTAGGTCATTAACCGACCAGAGACCAATGAATGAAGATGAGGTGCAAAGGTTGGATTATTCATGAATAATCAAAAGGTGGAATTATTAAAAGAAGACCGCTAAAAGGTTGGATTATTAGTTTCCATTTTCCCTAAAATTTATGCAATAGTTTGTAATCTGGAGAATTGTTAGTAGCTAGACAGTTTTCGTCTTTAATACTATACTCTCTCTATCCCATTATAAGTGTTCCATTTTTCATTTCGGCCGTCCCACTAAATTTGTCATATACTCCAACTAAATCGATCTGGAGTACTATATTTGATACGGAGTAATATTTATGTCATTCAGCTCTAATTCATTCATAAAAACAGCACCACTAATAAATTTTTGTTTCAAATTAGGACTTGTTTATATTTGGGGTGACAGATGCACATTAAAAAGAGTATCAATTATTATTAACATTTATTTATTTATGGGATAACATATACGGAGTATAAATCATTTAGAACAGTATTATTAACATTTATTTATTTCAATCAGATCATGAGTGTGCATTAATTAGAATGTAACGCGTTTCTCAGCGAGAGACCGATACATTTTAAGAGTGAAGAAAATTTGGCTACAACAACAAGAATAGTCTCCTTGAACATTATCCGCTTCTTTGGACCACTTTCGTCATTTATTTTTCTGCTTGATGATGTGTTTTGCTGGTCTCGTACTTCATCAAGCAACATGGTTGTCGATGGATTCTTAATACTGGGCAATTCTTGTTTTGATAGCTTTACATAAAGCTCACCTTTTTTCTCATCAAATATCTTTTCTTTAACCGCAACTTTAACATTATTATTTATGCAATTAATTTCTTTTTCGAAAACAAAGTACGTAAGGTTCGTTCGATTAATTCCCATTATCTTTACAATATTAGTATCTGACAATGTAATGTCAATATCCTCTCCTTTGAACCCTGCAAAGTAATGACGAATTAGAATAAAATTAATTAAAGGCAGGATGATAGTTAATGGGTTGCCGCCTTAATACAAAAGGACGGGGTCTGCACAATTCATGGAGGCATGTGCCCCAATAAAATTACACCTTTTAAAGCGTGTGTGTGCGCGTGTGTAAATTTGATATGCAACATTCGTCAATCTCCAAAATGGATGTTGAGAATTGATGGTTATAGCGGTAGAAAAACTGATGGAAGAAATCAAATTTAAATAAGAAACATGAGCATTGTAATAATCGTGAAAATGCTGTAACAAGAATGTTGATATAGTTCATATTGTTTGACTGAGTCAGTTAGTCGTTGAATAAATCTGTTAATTAGCTGAACAAGTTGTTAGCTAAAACTGCATATACAGCCATTGAGCTGACTTTGTAAATCAGGTTGTTAATAGAATCATTCTTGCTTTTCCGCCATATCTCTCTTTCTCTATAATCTGTCATTTACGTTCTTATATACATTCTTATACAGTTCTCGAACTCTCTTCTCCATTTTATGAGAATTCCTGAAACTATACCATTGGTGTCAGAGCTGTGATCCTAATTTGGGCGTCGATTAACTCCATTCAGACTGGAGTTGAGCTCGAACGAAGAGAAATTGAAGCATGGTTCAGACTCTTAACTCCACAGCAGACATGGAGGAAGCATTGAAGTTGTTGCAGGAGGATTTTGATCACAAGATGGAGACTCAAAAGAAATTGATGATGGATATGGTGATGAAAAAAGTGGTGGAACTACAAAAGAAGAAAGGGAAGAAAATAGTGGAGGAAGAAAGCGGATATAGTTCCATTTTAGAGGAGGAATCATCATCAAAGGAAGAAGATGATATAGAAGACTCTTCTGGTAAATCTCCTTCGGGCCAACATATGTACCGGTTCACACTTAAGGTAGAATTCCCTACCTTTGAAGGTCACAATGCTGAAATCTGGGTGCAAATATGTGAAAGGTACTTCAAACTTTGTACAATTCCTGATAAACAGAGAGTTAATTTGGCTGCTTTATATCTTGAGGGTAGAGCAGCGAGCTGGTTTGGAAATTATATTTTGTCCAAAAAGAAGCTATCATGGAAAAGATTTGTTGGTGATTTATCTGCTAGATTTCATGATAATAGTGGCCGCAAAGTGGTGGAAAGGTTTAATAATCTGAAACAAATAGGACCATTGGAAGAATTTATAGATGAATTTGAACATCTCAAAGCTCTCATGAATCAAAGAAATCCGAAATTGCCTGATGATTATTTTTTGGATTGCATCTTAGTTGCTTTGAAGCCTACACTTAAATCATTTGTGAAAGCTTTTAAACCCTGTAGTATGGCTGAAGCAATAGGGTTTGCAAGACTTCAAGAGGATAAATCACCTACAACTAAACCATTGCTACCCACGCCCAATGTACAACAGAAGAGCCGGTCTGTACATAACACAAAGTGAATGCCTACAATAACACAAACTGGCTATGCTACTACTGTGATCAACCATTTAGCAAGGAGCGTAGATGCAGCCATAAAGGTACTCGGTGCATCAATATTACGTAGTACATTGCATAACAATTTACATCCCCCACCATGTCTTTTTAATAAGGGCTAACATAACCAATCGGCCATCCATATCCTCTCTCTTTATATAACGCCTTTTTTACTACTATGTTCGTCCCTTTTTACATAGTCATCTTTGACTTTTTCAATCAAACATGATAAACTTTGATCCATTATGTTAACTTATATATTTATGTGAAATTTAAAAAATTTATACTATGATAGTATTTTTAACAAAGAATATGTCTATTTCATTTTCATATTATCAATATTACCGTGTATAAATATGTAATCGATCAAAATATAACATCATTGACTTGGAAAATAGTGTTTGGCTAAATAAAAATGGACGGACGGAGTATAAGACAATTACTCCGTATAGTATAGGTAGTACGAAGTGTGTTTCTTTTTCCATGGAAGCTAGAATACATTTTTATTTGAAGCACACGTTATATATCCGAAGTATATATACACACACACTAATCATATAAACAAAGAAAGAAGAAAAGAAGAATGAGTTTAAGATATATACCCAGTAAAGGATATAGCTCGATCTCAACATCGGTTGGAATATTGTCAATGAAATTGAAAGAAATAAAGATTTTTTTATATTCCACGTCGCCAATTTTAATCATTATCACAATTGAATTCCTTAGATTAGTAGTTGTCTGTCTTTCATTTCCTATTTATAATATAGAATGGAGATAGAAAGGGATCGGAAGAGGCTTTGGGTTCAATTAACCAAGAATCCGATTCATGGCGGTGTTATTAATCAATCAAATCTATGTGGGTTTATTCAGCAATTGACCAAGAATCCGATTCATGGCGGTGTTATTAATCAATCAAATCTATGTGGGTTTATTCAGCAATTGACCAAGAATCCGATTCATGCGGTGTTATTAATCAATCAAATCTATGTGGGTTTATTCAGGGACGGCAGCAAATATCATTTTTTTTAAAAATCGGAAAATTGACTTTTTAAGTTTGAAGTTTCCTGTTGTGGTTTACGACCGCAACAAATAATGTAGATCAGCTGTATTAATTAAGATATCGCATCACTTAAAAACACAATCTGGACGTTTCGCAGCCATACAAAATTCCATTACATACAATTGCAAGAAACTTTTTGTAATACATCTGTAAAGTTATCCACTGTATGCAATTACAAGATTTTACTTATCCAACGTCACTAGTACATCAAGTCCAATACAAAATACTAGGGGTGAACAAAAAAAACCGAAAAACCGAAACCGACCGCCAAACCGACCGAAACCGACCGACCAAAACCGAAACCGACCAAAACCGAAACCGACCAAAACCGAACCGATAAAACCGAAACCGACCGAAATTGACTAATTCATCGGTTATTCGGTTTACGGTTTGTACTTTTGGCTTAAAAAACCGGTCAAATGAAAATAAACCGGCAAAAATAGCTAAAATTGACCAAAATTGTCTCAATTTTTGTGGTCCGATTTTCGGTTTCATCTATTTTTAAAGCCGCTAAAACCGCCCGACTAAAACCGAAACCGATCAAAACCGACCGACTAAAAACCGAAACCGACTAAAACCGAACCGATAAAACCGAAACCGCCAAAACCGAACCGACGAACACCCCTACAAAATACTACAAACGACTCCTGACAAATAATTAATACTAGTAGTTACAATGATTCCATATTTTTTCCTTGAATCCAAAAGCTGGCAGTTGAGCCACTGGAGTCTGCACATGTTAAATATGTAGTAAAAGATAATATTAGTACTTAGAGACATGGCAATAGAATTATAATGCTATTGATAAACATATAGTGCAACTCAATGCTTCGTCCGATCTCAAACTTAGGTGTATATGTTAAATCAATAATTTGATCCCACAATATAATTAAGGATTGACCTACAGACCTACAAAAGACAATTTAATGAATAAAATCACATTCAATACTCGGCGTTCATACATTTAACATGAGATAAAAGACACATACGGTCCAAAATAGGAAAATTGACTTTATTTGTGCTACTACATTTAACTACTTATATGACTAGATTAGCTTCATAATATTATAAAAATTGAAAATGTAAATAGTTGAAATGAAAATATGTGGAACTTTTATCTTAATCTTTTAATTACAGGTATTATTCATTCAATTTAAAAAAAAAAAATCACTTGTAAAAAATCAACCCAAATTAGCTAATTCTGCCATTACAGCTACAACATTAACAAATTCAATACACTTACTCTTCTTAATCAAATCTACCACTACCAGATGGACTTCTAATTGATATAATCAACTCTCCTCATTTCTTCAGTGAGAAGATCATTAATGTCTAGATTGATTTAAAATGTTCAGTCTACAAATGTAATTGCAGAATGGAAGAAGCAGGTTCCCTTTACTAGACGATGTAGCTACAATGAATTATCAAAAGGAGAATAAGGATGTTTTTACTTGGACTGTAATTTGTCCCAGACCAGACCAGTCCAGACCAGACCAGTCAGTTCAGACTAGACCAGACCAGACCAGTCAGTTAAGACCAGACCAGACCAGACCAGACTTGGATAGTTATAAAAATACAAAGAAACCAGACCTTACCAGACCAGACCAGACCAGATCAGACCAGACCAGACCAGCAAATTACAGTCCAAGTAAAAACATCCCAACTAGTCATCAAGAAAGGATCCACGCAACTTATCAAATTCTGAATTTTTTGCACTAAACAAACTTCTATTAGTAGCATAAGTGATCATTGAATCACAAACTAAGCAACTTACCAACTAACGCAATTCTTTGGACTATTAAACACAGGAAAGTATTGTCTTTTCTGTTAGGGGTGGGCATAAAAACCACACCGAACCGGTACCGAACCGGCCCGTAATGGTACCGAACCGAATATCGGGTATTTAAATGGTTCTATAAAATTTTATCCCGAACCGAAACCGTATCGTTTCAAACGGGTACGGGACCGGTCCTAGATTTTGAGAACCGAAAAATACCGGACCGAACCGTTCAAAAATAATGTCTTTGAGAATTTTTTATATTTTTCCATACCCATAAATATCTTTTATAGATCAACAACTTTATAGCCCAAATATGTATCATGCATCCCGGCCTAAAATAGCTAAGTGTGTGTTATATAAATATTATTATGTTTTCCTTTGAGATAATTAATTTATGTTATATTTGGTATATAATGAAAGAATGTCAAAGTTTTAAAAAACATTAATGACTATTAATTTCTAGTAATGTAGTGTATATGACTTTTGTTGTATCATATTTGTGTAGTTTTATAACTCTATTAATATGGTTTGAATCATAGCTCTTACGGTTCAACTATGAACTACTCCGTATATTAGAATTAATATTCAACTTAGAACAAAGAAGAACATTAAATATTTGTATTATGTTCAATAATTTAACGATATTCTTTCTATATGTTCTCATGAATTTAATAAAGATGATATTATACGATTGTATATTGTCATTTTGCTATACTTTTACTAAATTCCTTTCACTGTTTGAGTGTTTTTGAATTTAAATACAAAAATGTCAATCTCTTGAATCTTTTTTAGTATTTAGTATGCACTTTCTTGTTTTTTTATCAAAATTTCACGTCAATTGGCCCGTGTGATGATATCTACTAATTACAAAATTTGTTCAACTGTTTCGGCATGTGTTTGGCGTTGTACCGAACCGTTTTGTACCGTTCCGAAACGATATGGTACCGAATGGTTCTATCCTTAGAACCGGACCCGTACCGAACCGTTAAAAACCTCACGAATACATTATGGGTTTTGCTAATTTACCGGACCGTTCCGGACCGCGCCCACCCCTATTTTCTATAGTTCCACTAAAGATGTTGATGGAGTATATGGCCCAGGAACCCCCGGCCCATAGACTCCTACTTCTCCTACACAAGTCCATTGAGCTCAGGAAACAACTCAGGCCCAAATACAACGGCCCAAGCCTCAAAGTAGCCGAAAATACATACTGGGGTGCCTTCGGCCTCCTTGGCCGAAGGCTCTAAAACTCACAGAATAGCCTTCTCTGGCATAAGAAGCTACTGGGAGAAAACGGCGAAAAACATGAGCCTTCGGCACTATCAAGCCCTCGGCATCGGAGAGGCCTTCGGCTGAACCAAGCCTTCGGTCACACAAGGCCTTTGGCTACACAGGGGTCCTTGGTTACATGGAGCCCTCGGCTACACAAGGAGCCTTCGGCCAAACACGCTCAGTCATCGAAAGATTCCTTTTAGAGACAGCCAACCACCGCATTTAATGTCACGTCACATCCGCCAACCGCATTCAATGCGGTGGACGTACCACTGCCGGTGCCAACCGGCTGATGTGACCCTTCGGCCGTTGGATTACTGACACGTGTCCTCTCATCGCATTTATTGCTGCTATAAATAGCAGCCCATTTCTCTTTGTAAACGATCCCAACTCCACATCTCGAGTTCATTTAATAAAATCGACTCTCTCTCCTCCTATTTACTCTGACTTCTCTCTAGTTATTCCCGCAATAACCCCTCGGATAAGATACCCCCCGGGTAGACTGATGGTCCCGGATAGAGGTAAAAGTCTAGAGGGGGGGGGGGGGGGTGAATAGACTTTTATAGCTTTTTCTTCTTTAACAATTTTTCCCTTCTAGATGAGTAGATCTATAATCTTTTGGGAGATTAATAGATGCACAGCGGAAGTCTTTTAACCTCTAGAAATTCAGTGTACGATAACTTTCTAGTCTGGGTAATGTTTAAACAGATTATGGAAGGGCAGTAGGCTTAGCAGTTGGATGATGGGTAGGCGACTGCTGAGGCAACTGCTGAGTTGGCAGTTAACTGAAATGCAGGAGACTGCTGAGGAAATATTGGGTGTATGAAGAAGGTGATGATGAAATGTTGCTAAGAATAATGAGGGCTTTTCAAAATGTGCTCTAGTATATGTAATCAGAAGTTTTACTGGAGCAGTGGTCTCAGCAGTTGAGTAGTGATGAGGGCTCTGCTGAGGTGCCTGCTTGGTTTGGAGGGTGAATTTCAGAGAGAAGTTTGGTCAACCTCCTCGTTGATAGTGTTATGAAGGTCCAGTGATATTGAGATACTCAACGGAAACAAGTGTATATTAGCAGAGGGCTCAGCAGTTGAATGGACACCAGGGGACTGCTGAGGCACCTGCTATATTTAAGAATGGATTCTTGAAAATGATCTGATAGGTCTTTGAGTGATATTGGTGCACGTTTCTTGTGTGAAAAAGGTCTCAAAGAAAGTGAGTAATTAAGCAGTAGGATAAGCAGTTGGGTCTGTTAAGGCAACTGCTTAGGATGCTGCTGGCAAACTCCAATCTTTTTGTGAGAAGTGTTGGTTGTATGCTTTGTTTACTGACATAAAATCAACACACGATGTATCCTGGTTCAGAGGTGGTGTAATCCTCCTACATCCAGTCCCACCCTCTTTCAGATGGATTTCACTAAAGTATTAAACCCAATACACTTAGTGTCAATCCAGCCTTTACAATACTTAGGCCTGGATTAAAGGTTTTTCACAATGAGTATAGCACCACTCAAGGTTACTCAGTCCTTAGACTTTTCTCTATTGAACCAGTGGGGTTCAAAAGGTACTCTATTCTATCTAACTGACTTTAGGATCTGAACAACCGTTCTCCTAAGTGTTTACAACAACTTG